CACATCTTCACCAACTTGACAAAATATGCAAGAAGCTCAAACACAACAGAAACCAGGGGACACTAAAAAGTGACGCACACAGCTGGGACCGGAGCACTTGTTGACGCTCGAGGATTATAAAGTTGGCCAACTGTTGTCAAAAAGTGACACGAAATGTACGTTTTATCTGCTTATTTAACCAATGCGATTGCATTATGTTGGGAAAAATATCTCTCGTCACCGTACGGCACTCCTTCCTCCTGTACGGTATGATCTTGTTTATATTCATTACTGAAGTACAAAACAGGTATAACACAAAAGCTTGAGAGAGAGACGGGGAGAGAAAACCGCTTTCATCTGCCATCCCATCGACACACACCGATGATGAATGAAAGACTGGATTAAAAGTTTCACATTGTGAGACACATTGGAAGAAATTAGCATGGTGCGGAAACATGTTCACCCAGTTTAAATTGTGACGTATTTCGTTGACTTGTTCCCTTTCAGTTTTTTCTATTTTTAATATTAATTATCGTGTTGTTTGATGAGTTTTAGGAATGCAGAATGACTACAGTTAGTTAAACGTACACTAACGCAGTGAGCTCTTATGCAGTTTGACAGACCAAAAAACATGTTCACATGTTTTCAATGGTGGAAAGTAACATTAACTCAAGTACAAGTACTTTTTTTTTTACATATTTGTACCTAAGTATTTCCATTAAAGGTCCATAAAAAAATTCAGGAAAAAAGATTCCCTTATTTTCTTAATATATCAAATGATGTAATATCAGATAGGATTAGATTTGGATTCAATAGTAACTGCCTAATTGAACAAACATCTGCCTTGCCCTCAAAGTATGTTGTGCAGTTACAAGGGCAAGGCCAACCTGTTAACCCTAACCCAACCCTGTGCACGGTCTAAACCTTTAATTAACCTCTGCAGGCTTACTCTCTTATGCAATCCGAAACCTATGATATTTACAGACAGTGAGCTGTGGAAATATCACAGTGTGCAGACATGCACGTCTCATTGTGCGCACAGTGGATTTCACTATTTGATTTAAGACCCTATGTAAGAAATGTGCCAGGGACCATGTTCAGCCGGCTAATGGTAACATGTTATCAAGATTAATGTATGGCTTAAAAAAAGTACAACTTAAATGTACCTACAATTTAAATTGAACGGACATTTATTCAAATTTAAAAAGAGGTAAAAAATAAAATCTCATTGTAAATAAAATATTCTATTGATGATGAAAAATGACAAACCAGAGGTAAAAAAACTAAGTGGAAATTAGCAATCCTTTTCACATAGACTTCTATACAATTAGACATAGTTGTGCCACAAATGGAGCCTCCCTCTGCTACATATTAAGGAATGCAAGTCTAAGGCAACATAGACATCATTTTGACACCTTTTCTCCTTGTCCCCTTACTTGCGAAAGAGCAGAACCTCCGTGCGCTTGAGAAAGCGGGTTTCTTTAAAGTTCAAACTCATTTGAAGGAACCTGGTTTCACAGCTCAGTTTCTGTGGCTTGAAGCAGAACCAAGGCTCGCCTGTACGAAGGTCGGTGAAGTTGCAGAGCGGAAGGAGGGTGGGCTGCAGGCAGACCCCACACATGGTGGTTTCAGAAACTGCTCCTGAACGGAAGATGCTCTTCCAAGCCGTCCTGTAAGGATGCTCCCTGTTCAGCCTCTGCAGCACAGCGATGGCCTGAGCTGAATGAACCATCGTCACCTGAGTGGGCAGAGAACCAGTCAATACTGTGGTTATAGTTACCTATAGATGTTCTCCAAATTTAAAAACAAACATCCTGAATTTGACAAATCCTGTTAGGAGAGCACACACACACACACACACACACACACACACACACACACACACACACACACACACACACACACACACACACACACACACACACACACACACACACACACACACACACACACACACACACACACACACACACACACTTTTTATTTATGTACTAATATATATATGTATATATTGTACATGTATTACAATGTATTATACAATGTATGTATTGAGATTTATGTTTAGTGTTGATTTTTGTTTTGTTCTGTTATAACGCCTTGTGCGGAATGCTTTGCCTACTATGTTTACAGTCTTTCTCGATTGCTAACACACTAAAATTATACATAAAGCACAATTATTTTAACTGACACTCAAAGAGCAAAACATTGGCTCAAATCTCCAAAACTCTAAACACGTTTTCAGCTTTTCACACAATTTGCAAATCAACATGGCACCTTTTGCAAACCACTGCACACGTTTCTCCACGTAAGACACAGGCATCTGACATAAAGTTAGCAGGTTTAAAACACTGATATTCAAAATGCCTCACACATGGACCAATGATCAAGAAACACGTTCCACCTGACCAAACACCTGATAGCATAATTGTTGGCTCATCAATCAGGATGTTAGCACTATAAAAAGACCACAGGTGAGTACTTTCTTACAGCAACAATGGAAGCCAACATGGAAGCAAGAGCAAGAGGAAGAGGAAGAGGAAGAGGTGGGGTGAGAGTGAGAGGAGGAAGAATGAGAGGTAGAGGTAGAGCTGGAGGGAGAGGACGTGGACAAAGAAGAATACTCTCTAATGAAATCAAATGTTATCAACCATGGTTTGACGATGAGAGAGGCTGGAGAGGGTTCAGCCTAATCTAAGGCGCCGTTTACACGAGGAGAAAACGGCTTGTATCTGCATAGTTTCGCGTGCGTATAGCCCTATTATTTACACGAGGCCGATAGAAACTGACCCCACAAACGATAACGGGTCCCAAGGTGGATAGATTTGCAAACGAAACGCTCTGGGGGGTCAACCGAGTCCGTGTAATCACCTCTATACGAATATTTCCTGAAAAAATAGCGATAGCCCCACCTCTCCCCACCTCTCCTGCTCACTGCTGTAGCAACTATCAAAAATAGCTGTGTTAATTAAACGCACAAGGGGTTCTTGAATGAAATAATATTATAAAAGGCAAACCAGAATTGTTAACGCCCAATATACTCCTTAAACAAAATAAACAGAGTCAGATTTCATGCATTGATCCATTATATTGACAAAGGTGCGATCTCACCCGGTGTTTGTAGAGAATATCTCTCTTTCTGAGCCGTCCTCTCCACAGAGACGTGCTTCTTGGTCGGTTGATGCAATATCCACAGATTCGGTTTCTTTCAGTTAACTTCCCCGTTGCATTTATCCATATGCTGAGGAAATTACTATATCCCGCTGAATACCAGCAATCGCCACACACTTCCTCCTGTCAGTAGCTACTGCTAGTGCTACTGCTACTGACCATGCTACAGATATTAGTGCAAAATCTACAGCTCCTCTACCACAACCATCAGCAACAAGTGGACATGGAGAATTACATGAACTACATGTTGCTAAATACACCGCGGGGCTTAAACAGAAGGGTAGCCATGGCAACATTGTGGCGGGGCTGCTCGGGCTGCTCTTCTTCGCTGCTTTTGGTGTATTTTGGCAGAAGTTACAGCGCCACTTACAGTCCCGGCATATGTACTACAGCGTTTCCAGCGGCCTCGTTTGAACAGACACGTTAAATGAAACGAATGCATGTGAACAGAAGACTTTTTTGAATACGCATACTGTGCATAAACGCAAACGGTCCCGTGTGAGCGGGGCCTAAGCCGATTTACTGTTGCCTCTGTAATCCGGACACTTAGACTTGAAAACAAGTTAGTTACCAGTTTTTAGCTCTGCATAATTCATGATATATCAGTGCGTATATCTGTTTTGTGAAACGTATTTACTTCTCTACTGTAATTGAATTGTTGGCATGTTGCATACTATAACTGTACACAAATCCTGCACAATTTACTGTGGTAGACTTACTTTTATGCAACACTTAGAGAGATCCGCAGCATAGTAACTATGTGCTGAGATGCATGTTGCACAATGTTATTTTTGAATAAAATGTGATTTTTTTCAACAACTCATTTGTATTTCTTCATTTACTGTATTTCTGTAAACTCAAGCAATCTTTCTCTGCAGAAAGCTCTATGTACAGAGCATAGCCCAAAAGATGAAAGTGCTTTAGATTATGCTCAGCAGTGTGTAGTTGGGTGGTCAAACAATCTAGTATTATGAATGAAGTGTGTTATATTTGGTGCAAAAGTTTGCATTTGGTAAGTGTTTATGTAGTTTTGAGTGCAGTTCTTCACTTAGCAGGAGAAATGAGGTGTTTTGCACTTTGGGTGTGTGGTTTTGTGAATTGTGTTTAGTGTTCTGAGAAAATGAGCAATTAAAAAAGAAAAGGGTGTTATCAATCGAGAAAAACTGTAAGATGTGGTCATGCCAATAAAGCCCCTTTGTATTTTATTGTATTGTTTTCATTACATTTTACCTATTAGCAATTCTGATTACAGACATCTAGAATCCATTTGTCACTAGCGAAAATGTTAGTTCTTGATATCATCAATTGACTTATTACTATTGGAAGTGTTCAATGTAGATATCTGTAGGTTAAATACATCAACAGGGTTAGGGTTAGGGTTTATTATTTTATTTAACTACTCTAATATAATTTAAGTAGCCGTAAAGTGCACATTTAAAGTTATTCTATGTTGGCCGAGTGATATAATTGGATCGGCTTATTGCAGGCCTGTGACAGGTCTTTTCCTCTTTTTATAATTTTTTTATTTCGATTGCTGATTGGTTTAAAAAAAAAAAAAAGTTGTAAACTAAATTGCCTACACCAGCTTTTAGACTCATTTTACAGAGCTCTCACAGAAAAAAGTCATTGCAACTCTTGGAGCTAATGTTACTATGGATTACTTCAGTTGCTTTAAAGGGGAAAAAAACCCTACTGTTTCTAAAAAGACCAATTTATTCTGAGGTTTAATCTGCCACCATTGTCATTCCAAGCAACAGTAACCAAAGAAAGCGGGACTTCACAAACAGCTCAGTTCCAAGATAGATTAAAATGTACGGTACAATTACATTTAATATAATGGTGTCTAGCATTACCTCAACCACTGCATCTCCTTCCCAGAACAATGAGAATACAGCGGAGTAGCTCCCATTGAGATGATCCACCACTTTTCCAACCACGCCCGCTTGAAGCTTGGAGTTTTTCAGCCGTGCGAGTAAGAAGTCTCCCCCCGAAGTCTTGGGGCGGCCTTTGAAGTCAGACATTTCGATCATGACCCTCAGCTGATCCCCTATCTGCCACTGTCCTCCTCCTCTCCTTGGTAAGATGGTAAAGGAGCTGTGAGCTGGATCACAGGTGGTCTCTATGGATATAGGAGTGGGCCAAGGTGGGATTTCCGGCCAAGCAATGGATTCCAGTATGAGGCGTTCCTCTTCAGCCTCCTTAGGGGACAGTTGCTTAAAGGTGCACACGCCCTGTTGCATTTTCGAGCCATTGGTAACGGCAGGGCTGCAAACATTTGAGTTCAGCTTGGAGTGAGCTGTTTTTGGGGGGGGGATGGGGGGGAAGGGCTGAACAAAAAAAAGAAACTTTCATGTGTCCAGTGTTACAAATGTATTGAACATGTACAAACTATTTACATAAAAAAAAAATTGACAAACATAACTTGACTTGATTAGCTCTTTAGAGGTCGCTTCCATAAACCAGTGGCGGCGCCAGATATTTTCTTTTGGGGGTGCTGTGGGGTAGCTTGACGTTTCAGAGGGTGCTCAAACATTTAGGGTTTTCCATGAATGTACCGGGCGCTACAGTTGAATACGCACATACACAGTGTACCCGCAACTCTTTTATGAAGGCTCGATAATCACCTCACATATAGGTGTAAGCAGGGGTAAAGTGTTATTTCTTTATAAGTGGGGGATGGACCTAACATCCTCTAGGGGGGTCCGGGGGCATGCTTCCCCGGGAAGATTTGTTTTTAAATATTGAAGTTAAATGCATCAATCTGGTGCAATTTGAGAGCAAAATTAAGACATAAATGGTTTCCAAACCGTTTGAGACCCACTGAGATAACAACAACAATGCCAGGACCATGCGCTCTCTCTTATTTGTATCTATGCACCAAAACACCAAGTCAAATGCCTCGTATGTGTTAACCTACCTGGTAGTAAACGTGTTTCTGATTCAGATTTTGAAAACAATATCCCTAATTCTGACGATCTGAGTTCCGATTTTGAAAACAATTTAGAATTTTCTGATTTTGAAAACAATATCCGGACTTCTGATGATCATAAACAGTTCTAGTATAACAGACACATTCCTTACCTTTATGAGCTCAATGAAATCGTATTTCTGTAGCGCAAAAAATATGACAGCAAAAACCACGATGAAAAAGAAGGCCAAGCAATGCCTTCTGGAAAAAAGGTTCATGATAGTCAGATTATTGTTCCACGGCTTTCTCCTGTTCTGAGCACAGAGAGAAAGAGTCAGATATGATTACTTCCTCCTCCTGCGCGGTATGATCTCGTTCACATTGTGAGACACATTGTGAGACACATTGTGAGACACATTGTGAGGCACATTAGAAGAAATTAGCATGGGTGCAGTAACAGGTTCACCCAGTTTGAATTGTGACGTATATCGTTGACTTGCTTTCAGTATTTATCATGTTGTTTGGTGGGTGTTACACGGTGGCCGGCAGGTGCAAACGCTGAACAACGGCCCAAAATGCATACATAAGCAGGAAACACCTGCAAATAATGAAATGAAAAACAAACAAACCCTGAAAACAAATACAACAGAAAAACGCTGCATTTACAGAAATTATGCAAACTAAATACAACACACTATTTCTATTTATTTAGCTAACCACTATTTAGACTATGTGTTTTTGATTGACTTGATTAAATGGATTTACAACATCAATGTATGTCTTTTCAGGCCGCCATGTTTTGTCCTTTCTGTGGCCAACATCTGGGGACAGTTCAAGTGTTCTGTGGCTCCTGTGGCAAAAATGTAACAAGTTGAACACAACAGTAAGTTCACTTTTTTTTTATTGTATCTGTTTCAAATGCAAGAAATAAGGATTCAACACACTTCTCTGTTTAGAATACTAATTGGCAGATGCATACACTTGTTATCAGCATGAAGGACACATTTTTTCATTGTCCGTTTATGTGAAATATGTAGAAGCCAACATTAAATTGTAGACCAATGCATGATTAAATACACAAAACAGCTTATAGTATACATTCATAATTGTGTATTAGTTCTATCTTTATAGAGAACATTTAGAATCAGATTTTGAGACAGTGAGCGGCTGGGAAAGTCACACCGCCATGGGGCACAAACAGTTGCCATGACATGATGTTTTCTTCGCATTCTCAGGCATTCCATAAGGAGGGTCAGGAACTCACGCTTGGGACCACCAGTGTCCACTCCATCCTCAGTTTGTCCCTCATCATCAGTGAACTTAAAGGGGACCTATCATGCAAAATGCACTTTTGTACGTCTTTTATACATGAATATGTGTCCCCCGGCCTGTAGATGGTGCTGTTCTCACTGAATCTGCCCTTGCTAAAACAGGGATAAAAAATGTTAAATTGAGCAAAATGAGGCATGGCTAAAATGCATGATCTGTTTGGTATTTTGAAAAAAAATTACCATACTAAAATGCTCTTACATGTATAAAAATGGATAAAATAATAAGCATAATAATAAAGAAATACTGTGAAAAGAATCATTCTGCATAAAGAGTGCTTTTACTTTAAATCCTTGAAGTACATTGAGCTGATAATACTTCTGTATTATTGTGTACTTTAAGTTTTGCACTTTTACTTAAGTAGAATTTTAACATCATGACTTTTACTTGTAGTGGAGTACTTCTTCCAACACTGCATATTTTTTACTTTTTCTCCCCATTTTCAACGTGCCGAGACACTGCACCCTGGGACAAATTATCTGCTGATTTACAGACGTCTCTTTCTTATTGTAAGTCAATTTAATACTTGGTAATACTCAAAAAGAGTAAAAATGTTTTAACGAAATGAGTTACTAGTTATTAACATATTCAAATGATAAGCTACAGATGGAGCCTCTTATTTTGGACCCCAGCATACAGCTTCCTGCCGACTGCCAGCCAGTTGCCTGCCAAAGACCAGTATTCAGGAATGTTAGGCCCTCCCACTATTCTCCAATTTCAGGGTTTAACCAGGAGATGGCGCTATATATTAAATAACTAAGACTTAGTTTTTCACAATAGAAAATGCAGATATTATATAAAAAACTAAAGTTAAAATCTTGTTTTTAATGCCCCAAGAGCAATAACATCTTGTCACAAGCTTTTTGGAAGAAAAAGACTGACTCAAGAGACCTGTAGTTGACTAATTACAGGCCTCAATAAAGTTCTGCCATTGGTTGTGAAAAACAACGGTGGACATAGTGGAAAGTGAAATTGAGTGAGTGATATCTCTTTGTATCACTCCATAAATCAGAAAATACTGTCAACAGCCCTAAACTATCAATTTTCACCATGTTTTTAGGTATAAAATGTTATATAATTCAGGCTATGAATTATATATGACCAAACCCTTCTGTAAAAGCCTTCATAATATTGATAGGAATATAACTGGAAGGTTTGGTGTATGTAACTGCTGAGTGATTCTACAATTTAGGGTACATTCCATGTCCATTGATGTCCATTGATGATAATTATAATTATTCTAACTATTTTCTTCAAAAATATCATATTTTGCCTATTATTGGAAAGCATGTTATAATATCACACAAACATTATGTGCATCCTATGCTTTATTTAGCTTGAAATGTGTCATGATGTTCTTAAATTGTCAGTTTTTGCTATGTCCGTTTTTCAGTTGAGGGTGTCTTGGATTCAAAATAATGAATAAAAACCATTAAAGTAAATTAAAAAAATTATTCATTTATTTCAAAAGTCTAAATACTAAAGAATAATAACATATTTTTAATTGATTTCCCCCTTTAAATAATTTAAATATCTTAATATATGAATGTCCGCAAAAGTTCTGTAAACTATGTTACTAACAGAACTTCCCCCTTTAACTCAAAAATTGTTTGTCCCAATACCATGTCACCAGCATCACATGATGCCATGTTCCTCTTTGGCAGACATTTTGAACACACTGTGGTGATTGTCCTCTACATTTTTACAATATTTTATGTATAATAGCACATGGTCAATTAATATACTCATTGACAATCAACAATGTTACGTACATTGTTATGGTTTACAATTGTTTAATGATTTTAATTCAATTATATGTGCAAATGTGATGTTAACCTGTTCAAGAAAATGACATGTGGTCATCCAGGCAAGGCCTACCATTGAAATGATGGGTCAAAATAGGGAAATTGTCAACTAGGTTACCTGTCAACTGAGTTACTCAGTACTGTAATAACTGTAGTAACTTAGTTGACAGGTAACCTAGTTGACAATTTGTACGACATGTAGACGTCATTACACATCATTATCAATGGAATTTTGCACTTCTGCCTTGAAATTAACATAGTGCTGATGGTTAATAATGTGTCCAGTCAACTATGTTATTTAAGTCAAATGTTTGACTTTCATTGTCAACTATGTTGCACCTCATTTTTTCAAATTTAAAATATCTAAAATAGTGCTTCTGATATCCTTTATAGTATAATGTATATCTACACAGGTTGGAGTTTTACATGACATCTCTTAAAACTATCAAAATGACCTGTATGGTAGTTTTATAATACAAAATATCCCTAAACTTAATGACAGTGCTGAACATATCACATGAAAAAACAAAACTTTAATACAATTATTTTTTAAACTTTAAAAAATCTTTGGATATATGGTAGAATAGACTCAAGAGCCTTTCAAATTTGATTTTACTTGAAGTGCAGGACTTAATCAAATGATTGTAATGACATCAAGTTTGTCCGTAACATAGTTGACAAACTGAGTAGTGAAAACATCCTTTCCCTTAAAATAAAAAAAGATATAAAAATGTTTAAGCTTTGCAACTAGTGGATATGTTACACTGAGGAATATACTAACTTGAACCACTGATTGTTCTATCTATACATTTTATTTGGCATTAGTAAATAATTATGCACATTTACAGATATTTTACATGATATGAGTGATAACACGTGTTATAAGGGCTATTTCGCACAATAGGTGTGCCTTGAGATTTTTACTTGTCCTTTGGTGTGCCTTGGGCACAAAAAGTTTGGGAACCACTGCTGTAGAGAAATGTAAACGTTCACCATCCCCCACCCGCCTACTGTATGTTGCTTTTTGACATGTAAATGGTTAACTACCCCCCTCTGAGTGAATACCTGTTGTACCTGTCCGGGGCTAAGCCCATAGGACGATGCTCTGATGTCATCACCCTCGCACATTGGTCATATGTTTACAAAAAACGATGTTAACACTTTCTCGTTCTTAATATATGCTATATTTAGGGTCGATATGTGTTGAATTTACTTTAAAATAGCAGATCACTGTGATTCACTTCTCCGCGGCTCCTCCGTGCAGAGAGGCCCCCCCCCCGTTGACAATTCACGAGCGTCTAACTCTCTCCCCCCTGTGAAGAGATATCACAGGGGGGGGTTGGGACACACACATTCCGATGGCCAATTCGTTTTAAACAAAGAGTGGGGTGGGGGCTGGTGAACGGTATGGTCAATGTTTGTAAACACTGTGACATTTTGACTTTATTTGATCATTTCAGTTAAAAACTAACGTTCATATTTCATATTACTGTTTTGCCTGGCTGGACCTGTAATTTACAGGAAAGGAGTGCACGCTACTAAAGAGACACGCTACCATGGAAACCAAACAATGGTGTTGCTGTATTGAAGTCCGAGTGGAAACAGTCATATTTGGAGCGTTATGTTAGAATGAAACAGCGAGGTCGTGACTCACAAAAAAAAAGTGTTACTTCACTAACTGTAAGCTTGTCACTCAGAGTAACCTACAGTTAACTTAACTGTTGGAAAAGAAAGATCAGAGTTAGGAGTGTGAACACACAGCTGAGAGCTGCCGTTTCATTCTGACTGTTTAAAAAACGGTAACAACGGACTATTTTTCTTAGCGGATGCATGTCAATTTAAATCAATACATAGAACTATGTTTTAAATCAATAAAAATATTTTCTAAATCCATAAAAGCATTTTAATTAATATTGGGAGTCATGTCGTTACTTTGTTGAGAATGTGGCCATGTAATAAGCGGGATAATTTGTAGCGACTTGGTCATTATGGGGAAAAATAAGGAGGGATCAGTAATTTTTAGTGAATTACTGAGTTTAGGCACGTTAATAACATTTTAATGAAGTTGAATACAGTATATTCATATTTGTCAGTGATTTCATGTCAATTCGGCGAACATAAACGATTAAATTAGGATTAAAAATCGAGAGCCGGCTGCTGTTCGTTACGGTAACCCAACT